ATACGTCAAACATGATTGATATTTATAATCGTTCGATGTGACGTGACATGCTAAAGTAATCAAGAAGCATAGGGGGCAGTTCAAGATTGAAATATATTTGTACGGATGGGACATGACTTGATATGCCATCAATGTTTGTTTAAAGCTGCTAAGGATGTCTCGTGGGAGAAGTATCTCAAATATCGTTTTCTACCATTTTGCAAAGTCTTCTTATTATTAAAGGTGAGCTTCTTAAAGGCTGTTTGTTATGAATTAAAATTAAATTTTTGATAGATTGTGATATAAGTTTTCGAAATGTATAGTTGAAAAGATGTGAGACTCATAAAAGATGTAGTTAATATCAGGGGCGGAGGGGAGGGGGGTCCTGGAGAGTCCAGGACCCCACAATTTTTTGAAAAAGAAATTTTTTTATATATATTTTTAAATTTTTTGGCCTTAAATTTTTTTTTTTAATGTTAAAAAATTTAATTATAGTACGGAACCGAACGGAACCGAATAGAACCGAACCGAACCGAAACCGAATGGTTCCAAAATTATATTTGGAACCGACGGTTCCATTTACTAAATACCCGAGAATTTCTGAAATCGAAAAAAACCGAACCGACCTGCGTCCACCCCTATACACAAGGGTAAACTAGAAAGGTTTTTGAAAAAAAATTATTTTTTCAACAACATTAAATAAAATTTCTTAGTTCGTGCGTCCACCCCTATACACAAGGGTAAACTAGAAAGGTTTTTGGAAAAAAATTATTTTTTCAACAACATTAAATAAAATTTCTTAGTTCGTGTGAAAAATAAAATCAACTTATATAAATGGGACGAAGGGAGTAGTAATATGATAATTTTTTGTAGTATTTTTTGACCTCATTTTTCGTAATGCCAACGTGGACACAGATGTCAGGTCCATTCACGTCAACTCAAACAAGTCCTGACGCATTTTGACTCGAGAACCGAATGGAGAAAAGGAGCGTGTGAACACGAGAGATGCTTTACGGCGCGAGATAGAAATATTCGAGCACCGACGATAATGATTAAGATGATTGCACTAACGAACAATCGTATACAAAGTGTCAATAACCTAAAATCAAACTATCAAATGTAGAACAAGTTATATTGAGAGTATTTTTCTTGAGTGTATTATTGTATATTAGAATCAATATTCAAAACACCATCGTTTACAATTTACAAATACCACATATTTATAGAGTTTTGACCAACGCGGTGATAGTTGGATCTGAACCACATGACCTTATCTATTTGACTGAGACCTCGCATAACTAAGTTTATCATACATTAAATACATTGATAACATGTCAACCGCTATATACATTATGTTAACACACATGACATTCTTAATTACAAACGTTACATCAATCATTTCTAAAAATTGCCTACAAATTTTGTAAGGACAACTTCAGTTTTAAGGATTTCGGATGAACTGAAGGCTTTGACTGGAGGGAGCTTCATATTGGTGGTTTTCTGTGTGAAGAGTTTCGGCTTCTTCTTTGATTTCTTATGTAACACTTCGACTTAAGAGTTTCAGTCATTTAGACAGTGCTTCAGCACAGGAGTTTCAGACATGGTTTGATTTCTTTGCATTTGACTAATTGGGTCTTCGTTAACTTTCCTTTCCACGTAGCACTTTGACTGGAGACTCGGTGGTGAAGCGTAATAATATTTATTACATATTGAAAAATAAGATATTATTGAAATAATTGAATTTCTGTATGACTAAAATCATCCAGAAAATAATTCGCACTTGATGTGATATTTAATATATTATAGATTTACAATTTGTATATAATTTATATTTTGAATTTTACGTAACAAAAAAAAAACCTCATTTTGCAAATAAAAATAGAAATATTTATAAATGGCTAAATATATTCACACTGCATTTTTTAATAACAAAACTATATTTTAATTGAATTAAAGATTCATAACCTTTATATATTGTCACGTTTGTTTCAAATTTTTTTCATTGCATTCTTATTCTCAAAATAACACAAATTGTTCGTGATTATGGTTTCTTTCCAAAATCATTATTAAGATAGAGTAATAACTAATTTGTCCATTGTAGTTTTGTATAAACAAAACAAATAATATTGCACAAATGCAATTAAATATTTGACATTCATTTTAAAACACGGTAAGGACAAGATTTTTGAGTAATGAATTATTAAAAATAAGAATGCGATGAAGAAAAAAAATTAAGGATATAAGTGTGATAATGAATGAAAGTTAATGATTTTTAATGTAATTAAAAGGTGGTGTATTTATTTTAAAAAAAGTGTGTTGTGAATGTACCCCTTTAAAAATTTATTATTATAGATAGCTAACTATGCCAAAATACCCTTAATTGAAAAATAACAATTCCCCCACCCCCCCCCCCCCCCATATATATTACATTACGTAAAAATTTTCATATCATTTTATTATTCTTCAAAGTTTTAATTTTTCTATTATTATTTCATCCAAATTTTTTTTTTTTTCACTCTTGTGTATTTTTTTCCCCAATTAATTTTCTATCAATTCAAATATCTTTATTGCAAGGCATTTTGTTTAATTTTAATTTTTATACCTAACAATATATGTTAGATTGGAAAATGCTATAAAACTAAAACTTCAACTTAAAATAAATATGAAATTTATTTTAAAATGCAACAAATAATTTCCATTTGTAATTTAATAACAGAGAAAAAATTCAATGAAGTTTTCTATATTTTGTAACGCGTTTTTAAATTATTTTCCATTTTTTCAAAGATTAATTTAAAGAAATTGAAGGTCATAAATTTCATAAACCTCATGCTAAGTAAAATATAGTGTGTAAAATGTAAATTAGCAAAACATGGTATGCAAAAGATAAATACTGAATACACCATAAGTGCAAGAAGTATTTTATAACTTTCCAATTAAGTTATTGCACATAAGTTATGACTCAAGTCTTTGGTATACGATTATTCTACGAAGCATTCACGAAAGACATCTTCTCTTGCATCAACGTGACGAAATGCACATCTTGATTTTAATTTGTATTCGATCGCTATGCATTAAGCAAATTATTGGTATTGGATGTTGAAATTTTTTCAAATGATATAAACAATTGAGCAATTTGGACGTTCGAGACACTTTCCAAGTAAGAAAGTGTGAAATGATCGAACGAGGGAACCTCGAAAGAAGGTCGTGGAAAGAGCTGCTTAAAGATGCTAAGGATGTCTCGTGGTGTTAAATGACCATATATGTGCGTGATGTTAAATGCAGATTGTCTACATGCAATTAATTATGGTTGACTTCAAATGACAACGCTCGACAAATGACAAGTAGTTCCTTCGTAGCATATAGCTTAAAATTTTAATTAAAATTTATGTTTAAGTCAACAATTACTTTTAATTATAAATTTCACGAGAGTCCACAATTTTTCAATAATACATTTTATCAATTTTTATAAAAAAATATGATCTTAATCTATGTCAAATAAGGCATGTTGTCAACAATAATATTATACGTCAAGCATGATTGATATTTATAATCGTACGATGTGACGTGACATGCTAAAGTAATCAAGAAGCATAGGGGGCAGTTAAAGATTGAAATATTTTGTACGAATGACATGACTTGATATGCCATCAATGTTGTTTAAAGATGCTAAGGATGTCTCGTGGGAGAAGTATCTCAAATATCGTTTTCACCCATTTTGCAAAGTCTTCTTACCATTAAAAAGGTGAGCTTCTTAAAGACTGTTTGGTGGAGATTAAAATTAAATTTTTAATAGATTGTGATAAAAGTTTTCGAAATATGTAGTTGAAAAGATGTGAGACCCGTGAAAGATGTGATTAATATTAATTGTTTGGCTTTAACTTAGATTAAAATCAAATTTTAATCTGGTCCAAACAGGTATATTAAACTCAACGAACAGATCACAAATTTTAACGCGTATTTATTTTCTTAATTTTATCAAATTAACTAAAGAACCTTTTTTTTTTTTCCTTTAATTTCTTTACTCACCATCGTATCAAATCTAATTCCATTCACATTATGTGCAAACCAGTAAATTTGTTATTTTGACTTGGAAGTAGAACCCTTTTAGTGGGACATGATGAGAAAAGTAAATAATTTTTTTGCAATAATAATAAATGTACATCCCATTGTTTTCATAAAATTATAGACAAAAAAGTAATTTAAAAAAAAAAATTGTTCAATGATATGTTGCAACATGACACAATCTAAACAATAATATAAGAGATGATTTACATGTAACATGATTGAATTTTCCGAGACCCGTTTTTCAATCTGGCAGACAAAAGGACACTAGAGATGTAATTACTAATTACAGTCCAACTGTCTTAAAAATTACACATTAATTTTTCCGACATTAGATCCCATTTGATGGCTGATGCCCATTCCCATTATTTCATCAAATAAGTTTTGTAATAATAATTTTTTAAAGAATATATGATTAAAAGGTTTTTTTTTAAAAAAAAAAATTTGTGTTCAAAATATTTATTGTGAAAATATATAATTGAAAATAAATTTAAGAAAAAATGAATTTTGAAATAATGAAAATCAAACATTGACTTACATAACCACATTCATTTGTAATTCTTTTATCTTACATTTGAACATCGACATTCATTTCATATTACAAAGTCTCGGTTTAAGCCTCATTTTTTGATAATAGATTTTGTAAAAAATATATTTTTTTAAATGCATAATTTAAAAGTAAGAAAAAATTTCGAGTTTACAAAAAATTGAATTTTAAAGAATGGGACTAAAACACGTGCTAAATCTTATTATCAAATATGTGAAAAAGAGCAAATATTGCATTATTTGTCCTCAACCTATTATCTCAGTAGGGAGTTAATCACTAGCCTTCAAATATGAGCAAACCAGTCTCAAATTCTCATTATAGCTGCACAATTTCTTCAATGACAGAAACCGCCAAAATTTCTGGTCTGAAATGCTCAAATGAGTTCAGAAAAAAAAAACTTCATAATCTGAAACTACATGTAATCATCCTTCATGATAGGACACGGACTCAGTCCATGTCCATGAATGGACAATTCAGCTGATATAATATATAATTCAGTCTCCTGATACTGATAATCAATTGCAGGCAGTTGGGCCACTTCGTGATCATCCAGAAAAACAAGGCTTGATATTTTGGATTCACACGACATAAGCTTCCTATCTGCTTCTGTTTTCCATCGAAACAAGAGGAAGAGTCAACAAAAAATGTGTCATGTAACAAATTAATAGTGGTGAAGGTAGTTTACTTGTGACAAAATTGATGGTATAGTAAGAGTTTGCTAGTACATTAGTAGTTGCAACATTTAATAATGATAGGAAAGATGTGACATGGATATGCAAGTCCATGTATTTTAATCGTCCGTGATTATCACGTGCGTGTAAGACCTGTGGAGTAAGGGTTCCAGCACCCCTGACTACCATACATGGTTGGTTGGGATTTGAGTAATTGCACAGCTTCTAATTACCCAATACACACGTGACACCTCCTCAAGTTAATTTTCAGTAAATCCTCTTTTTCTATTTTTATTTTCTCAGTTTTTACCCTCATTGGAGGAAAACGTGAGAAAATGAAAGAGAGGACAATACTGCTGCAAAAATAAACAAAACCCAAGTGATAAACCTGCTGGCCCTCACTGCTATATAGTAGGCTGCCGTGAAGAAGTGCGGAATAATTGAAATGAATTAACATTAGAGGAGTTATATAGAAACATCACCTTTGTTCAATCCTGCGGTGCATTAGACGGATCTGGAGTTATCAGCAAAATGATACAAAGTACAAACAAGACCAGTGACACCAGCAACCTGTTTCCAGTTTCGGGTTCCAGCACCAAAAGCTGCCCCTGCAGCAACGCCAGCAGTGAAAGTATTAACCTGTAGGAGAAAAACAAAATAAACTATCAGCAGTGAGTTACCAATAAGGCCCCAGTAAACTACCTTAGGAACAAATAATTGTTATTCTATAACCACCACATTTCAATATTAATGGGTGGTTATACTGTATACATTATTTTCTCAATATCTGGGCCTGTGATCATCTTATATTCTTAAGAGGATAACACCAAAAACAAGCTATGGTAATTAGTATTGTTAACATTACAAAAATGCAAAAATCTCTGAGCTTTGAATAATATGATCAAGTTATCATAGTTAAATATCATGGTCAGACTCAGACATTATGAAATGTATAAAATATGAACTAGGGATACCAAGATCGATTTTTATATTACCTCTGAAACTTCAAGAAACGAAATTTCTAATTGAAAGGAGGACGTGCTAAACACTTGTAGATGCAAATTCGGAATCTACTGATTAAATGGTGTACGCATTCTTTGTCTTTATGAAGGAGATTAGCAGTCCAATGACTATTTTCACATCTATGTATTGATTAGTTTCTTACCCAAAAGTAAATGCATTTATATATTTTGCTTTGGACATGAATGCATAAAAAATCTAATTCAAGTATCTCGGTAGCTTGATAACCAAAAAAGTAAGACTATATTTTGCTTTATGATGTAAGGCAAGTTCCAAACCTAATGACTGATTGATGCGCAGATAATAACTCACTTTGTAATGACATATAGAAGAATAGTAGTCATTATTCAATTAAAAACAGAAAAGACAATGTCAACTCATAGCTCTGTGCTACACTAGTTTGCCCATTCCCTTGCTCATATGGTACAAAAAATCAAGGTGGACTTGAAAATATTGGATTCAGGGATGCACAAAAAGGCAAGTAATTTGTAATAATGTCTTCGCTTACTGTTAATAGAATTCTAATGAACAAATACTTGAGAAACTAAAGATAAATACACTAACCCAATCTTTTTTTCCGCGATATCTTTGAATCCCACAGTGAGTGAAAGAAAAAATTGCGGCAAAAAATCCTAAGATCAGAGAATGAATCCCATGAGACGAAAATCAACACAGATTGATAAATTCGAGATCATGATTATAACATCTGTAAAAATGTGAAATTGTCTGTTAACATATAAATTGATGATTTTTTGATAAAATGCTTCAGCACTTTGATACAGTAAATAAAATCATAAAAGACATAAAACAGAAAGAACAACGCATGGCATGGAAAGATAGGTCAAACTACTTGTAAATGAAGTCAAATGTTTAGGATACGTTCCATTGCATAATATAAAATGCAAGTAAAATTGTTTATTTTTTCCCAATATAATAAAATGGTCTTTTTCGTGCATTTTGGACCTCACTATAATTACAAATAAATTGCCAATATAATATTAATACTACAAGTGCTGAAGTGAGACTGTAAAATTGTGTGTGCAATGACCAAGTATGGTACATTGAACCCAATATCTCCGAATCTCAACCTCAAGCAACCCAATAACCATAGAAAGCTTCCCAACTTTGAAATTGAAGCCTAAATATCGAAAAAAAAGTCCAACAACCTTGCACAACCCCGAAGAACCCCAATTCCTTAATTTGACATGTTCCTGCCCATTAGATAACATTTCAAGAATAAGAAGGAAAATCACAAACCCTAAAATTGTAGGAGGGAAACATGTAGTGGTAAAGGATAGGGATATGTGCAAAAGACTGATCGCTACAGGTGGGTGAGGGAGGGGCCACGGAAGGGCCAATGTGTGAAACCTTTGGAAAAGGCAAAAAGTGGATCGTTAAATCATTCTCAAAGCCATTTCGTATTAGAGCTTAAGTTATATAGTCTTGCCCTTTCCTCTTTCTCTCCATGTTATCACAACTATAATGACCTAGACGTGTAACAACCGGAAATAAATTTTCATCGATGTTCATCTTGACATGTTTTGGTACATTTTGAGGTATCGAATGACTAATTTAAAAATAATTCTTTATGTCAAAATTTTAGTTTTCGGTCAGATGATCAAGTATTTATCTAACTAGAATTTGCATAGCGATATTGGGATTGTTTCGAAGCTCACATTAATTGGCAATTTTGTACTCGAGAAAACGTTATTTCGGATAAGTTAGGCTCATGATATTGATGTTCAAAGAATGAACATGATTAATTAGGCTAATTGAGGAATTAATAATTGTTGGGCCAACCACGTGTGATTGAATCAGGTATTTTATTTTTATTAGTTTAGATGAAAGTTGTTAGGAGTTTGTTTTATTAGATTAGGCAAATTGAATTTGATTTAGTTTTGGATTAAGTCAAGTATACGTTCTATCATATACCAAGTAAGCCTATTTCTATCCAAACTCTACTATGTGGAATCCTTTGGTTAATCAACTTTGGGAAGATACACCATTTACCATCCGGGAAAAGAAAAAGAAAAGACAATAGGGAAGCAGAAACTAATTTTGCACGGCCATCCTTAGAAAAAAAAGGGGTTTTGGGGAGAATATCGAATTAACGTAGCCACTACGTCGTCACCACGATTTGAGGTAGGATCCCTACGCAAAGTTATTGTTATGTGAATTAAATTTCCGTTAAGCATGTTATTCGTTATATTTGCTCATGAAGTATATGATGCTCTTTTAAAGGGTTTCACTTAATTGTTGATGTAAGAAAGATTTACATGTTTTACTGATGGTAATAGAGGCTCATCAGAACTTTAAGTTTATATGTTAACTGATGGTCGCAGAGGCTCATCAGAACCTTAAGCAAAACGTTTGATCATCGATTTGCATATTTATAAAGGCAATATGTAAGGATGCTTGATTAAATATATGATTGTTATGTTCATATAACACGTGTAGCCTACTGAGTATTTCTTGAGATGCTCACTCCTATTTAAATTTTTCAGAATAATCGGAGATCAAGTGGCGGTTCGACATGGATGGCATGTATTATTTTTTGAGAAATTTATTTCTTATGATTTAGATGATCACTTTCTATTTAATAATCATTTGGGGTGTCCCCAGATTGTAGTTTAAAAAATTTATGTTTCAAACGGAACATTTAATGTTTGAACCGTTGTTCTGTTTTAGAAGATTTTGCAGAATTCTGCCTCTGTTTTTAAAATGGTGTTGTGGTCGGTATATTTAAAATTTTAGCCCGTTTTAAATTGGAAAATGAACCTTGTGAGTTGTTTATCATGTGAAATTGGAAATAGGTTTATCGGAGTCCCATAGAATTTACTGTAATAGTTTTAACGAAACCGTGGCAGCCAAATTCAGGAATACGCTGACCAGCTTGTTCGGAATAATTTCGAGCTTCAAACGTAGGCTTCGAGATCCCGAATTTTTATATGTTGTTCTTATATAAGTTATATACTTTCCTGTAAAATTTCATAAGTTTCGTGAAGGTTTGCTAGGTCAAATAATTTTTGCAAACTCATCGTCTAATTGTAGAAAACTGTTTCAGCTTGCTTTTTTTAAAAAAAAAAAATAATAAAATTATGATTATATGTTTTGAGTAAATAAGTTGTAATTTGGAAATTTTCTTAAATCTCGTACTTAGGAGATTAGCGTTAAAGAACGCATTCTTGGTAACGCGCTGGGTTATTAGAATTCGGGGCGTTACAAGATGTCTCTCTTCCAATGCAACAACCCTACCCAAAAACAAATCAGTGTTGTCATCTCACAAGTCCAGACCCATGCAACCTTGTTGTAGAAGAGGTACGCTTCCTAGTTTGATGGACAAACAGAATGCTTACAGGTTCTGAAATTATCACTAGCACCTTTAACCTCTCTTTGAACCTTCAGACCTAGTGCTACACCACAAAAAATAGAGAAAATAAATAGGACTATCTAATGCATCTTCAACTTTATTTCGGGAAACAAACTCTTCGGTTCCCTCCAGTTGTAGCTACTATCTCATTTTCCCATTTTGGAAAGAAAAAACTACCACTATCTACTTGTTCCCTTGTCAGTAATCAATATTCCTTCATGTGTTTACCATTTCCATGTTCTATTCACAGAAAATATATTGCTTCCATGAGGACGACTTCTCAAAGTTTGAACTATAAAACTATTTTGTTATCTTCTCATTAGACTACATGCTAAATCCAAAGTTTCAATAATATGGCACTAATAAGCCAACTAGCAATCAAGTTTGGTGCAGCGAATGGGTCATTACTGTATATCATCACCAACCTTTCTCAAGATTATTTTGCCTTCTTATCTCTCTTACCTTCTCCTTTATTATTTTTTCTGGATTTTTCCCATACTACCTGGAATGCTCCAAGGCTTTGCTTTCCATGTCCATTTTGGAATGTACTAGAAATAGGGAATAATGCAATTCCACTGATGTAAGCTTGTATAAATATGAGGTTTGTGCATGTAATGTGTGAATGAGAAGAATTAGAGACTTAGTGAGTGGAGCAAGGCTGTGTTGAGTCCTAGTGTAGTGAAGTAAGAGTGATTCAAGTGCTTAATAAAATTAAGAGAACAGTGTTATATGTATATGCCCTGTAACAAAGTGTACAAGTGTTTCTGTAATTAAATAAAAGTTACTTTGCGTTGAACTGTTCAATTATCATAAAATCATTTTGATACACAAGCAAGTTGTAGGAAAAATTCCCTTCAGAGCTAAAGAATTCTTCAAAGTTCTCTAGCTTAAGCATTAAATTGTCTAGTACTGAAGCACCCAAATTGGCTCAATTAACAACTATTCAGAAACACTTCGTGTTAAGATCAATCAGAACTTAAAAAAATATCCATATGATCACTTACCCCACTTAAGCCCATATTGACCAACCAACTTAGCCTGTATTCATAGAAGAAAGCAGATAAATGAAATCAGACAGGTAAAACAGGGACAAACTTGCACAACGATCCATTCAAATTTCAGAAGTTGAATGAAATGGAATGAACGAAACTTACTACGAAAGATGCACGAGCGATACCAGTGAGACCTACGAGAATTTAAAACTTAATAGACAGCCCAAACGAGATTCAAAGTTAAACACTCTCGATTAACGTATAATAAAATAAACAAAGAAATTACCCAGTTTGTTAGCATCAAACGGACCGACACAGGAACCCCAAATTACGCCGGCCTGCATTGAAATTCAACATCTGTTTAGGTAACAAAATCTTGGGAAATGAACGAATCTTAATTAATGTGTGTGAGGGAAGATAGAGCTGAACTTACAGTGCCCATGCGTATGACAGAATCAACTGCGATAGAAGAGCAAGGAGCGTCATCGAAGAAGTCTCTTTCCATTGTCGAGAATTTGTTCAACCTTCGATTCTTCTGCGAAGCACTGTCTACCTTCTCTCCAGTTTTCTGCAGTGGGAGCCATTAATTGAGCCTTTAAAAATGTTTTTCTGCCTATTTTCGAACAAAACTCACGAAATTGTGCAAAGGCATAAATAATTAAAAATTAATAAAATAAATGAATATTTGTCCTTTTAATCACTAAAATTTAGATTTGCGTCTTGTATTGTTTACTAAAATTTAAAATGTTGAGTTTTGATCATTAAGCTTCTAAAACTATTGGACGTTACAAATTAAAATCAATATTGTTTCGCAACTCTAACGAAATAAGAAGACAAATTTCACAGCGACACCCCATCATGATTAGATGTCTATTAGCTCTTGTTTATAGTTAGTTTTCATTCTCTTATCAATCGTTTTTTGTTGGTTGGTTAGTTAAATCTCAGCTGAAAACGAATTCCTAGTTGTAAGCTATTTATCGCAATCGTGCATATGATTTTCAGCAAGTGGAATAAAAGAAATTCTTTTCCAATCTGGTTCTTGTTCTTCATTTCTGCATTAACATTGTATCATAGCTAAGAGCTTCTTGCATTCTTCTTATTCATCTTCTTCTTCTCTCTCTTCTTCTTCACTGATTCAACTTAGTTCTTCGTCATATAACCGACTGATTCAGCCGTTCTAATCTCTGGTTTGTACTTCAAATGGAGGCGTGACAGTCCGTAGATGATTTTGATGCAAGTCACCCTTGAACAATCAACTATTGATGAACATTCAAGTCCATACTGCCTTCATCACTCTGATAGTCCAGGTTTAATCCTGGTTTCTCAGCAACTTGCAGGAGATAACTATGTCTCCTAAAGTCGTGCAATGACCATTGCTTTATTAGTGAAGAATAAACTTAGACTTATTGATGGATCCATAACCAAACCTAGAAGTACCAATTCTAACCTGCTTAATTCCTGGATCCGAAACAATAATATCATCTCTTGGATTTTATACTCTATATCGAAGGAAATTTCGACTAGTGTAATCTATGCTACTTAAGCCTATGAAATCGGGACTGATGTTAAAGATAGATTTCAACAAAAAAAAAAATGGACCACGTATTTTTCAATTACATAGGGAGTTGATGAATCTCGTTCAAGATCAGAGTAATGTCAGTGTTTATTTCACTAAACTCAAGACTATTTAGGATTAATTAAGTAACTATCAACTAACATGCATCTAAAGGGAATTATACTTGTGGTGGTGTGAAAGAATTGAACAATCACTACCAAATGAAGTGTATATTTTCATTTCTTATGGGACTGCATGAGTCATTCTCCCAAGTCAAAGGACTAATCTTACTCATGGATCATACGCCTCCAATTAATAAAGTGTTTGCCTTGATATCTCAAGAGGAACATCAAAGGAATATAAGTACACCTGGATCTGATTCAAGTGGAGCTATAGCCATTGCCTTTAAAGATGAAAACAACAAAGGAGCAAGTAATTCTAGAACTCAAAACAACAGCTCAAAGATTGCGAATGCAGAAAATAGTAAGAAGAAGGAGAGACCATTTTGCACTCACTGTAATTTCCATGGCCATTCCATGGATAAGTGCTATAAGCACATGGATATCCACCGAATTATAAACCAAAACAAAGGGACAACTTCCAAAATTCTTTTGGTTCTAATTCTTTTAATCAGGTTTCAACTTCTTTTGTTTCTCAGAATGAAGACGACAGCATAATCAGCAACCATGATTTGAAAGTTTCGTTCAGAACTTAAGCCATAATCAATATCAACAACTAATGTCTATGCTATCCACTCACTTGGCATCAGGTTCAAGCACAACTGGGCACCATGACAATTCAATCACTTCATATGATACACGTATATGTTTTTCAGTATCTATACATTCTATATTTTCATCCTAAGATATTTAGATAGTAGACTTAGGAGATACCAGACTTGTATGTTCCATTACTGTTGTCTTTATGACAATGAGAGTCATTGAAAATTCAACTGTTACTTTACCAAATCACACACAAATTCAAGTGAGACTGTGGTGATCTCAAATTAAGCTCAACTCTTGTACTTCGAAATGTTCTGTTTGTGCCACAATTCAAGTTCAACTTGTTATATATCAGTGATTTAACATGTGACTCACATCTTACCATCAGTTTCTTTTCTGATCATTTCATTATTCAGGAAGCCAAAACCAGGAAGATGACTGGTAGGGATGATCGAGTGCAAGACCTATATGTACTTGATTCAAAAGTTCTGAATTCAATTTCAAATTCTTATGTAAATAATGTTTCCATTCATGATTGGCACAATAGACTTGACCACCTTTCTTTCAAAAGTGTGGATAGTTTGAAAACTCAACTGTTATGTAATATTGCAAAGTTCAATAAGAGTGTTCCTTGTTACATTTGCCCTCTTGCTAAACAAAGAAGATTATCATTTGAATCAAATAACCATCCTTTGAGCTCTCCATTTGACATTGTACATTGTGACATTTGGGGACCTTATCACATTCCTCCATACACATGACATAAATAATCTTTAACCTTGGTTGATGATTGCTATCGATTAACATGGGTTTCTGAGGCACAAATTTGATGTATCCAATGTTGTTCCTAAATTATTTAAAATGGTGGGTTACTCGGTTTAATGCTAAAATAAAAGTGTTTAGATCATACAACACTCCAGAACTTGCATTCACTGAGTATTTTGCTGAAAATGAAGTATTGCATCAATTTAGTTGTGTTGAAAGATCACAACAAAACTCATTTGTGAAGCGCAAACATCAGCATCTTCTAAATGTGGCAAGGGCTCTATATTTTCAGTCCCGTGTTCCAACCGAATTTCAGACAAAATGTGTTTTAACAACAACGTTCCTAATTAATAGAATCCATTCTTAGTTATTGAAACACAAAACACCTTATGAAGTCTTACACAATAAATCTGTAGATTATTCCTATCTCAGAGTCTTTGGATATTTGGCATTTGCATCTACTTTAATTACTCACAGAAATAAGTTCCAGCCTTGAGCTAAAATGTGTGTTTTTCTGGGTTATCCACCTAGAGTCCAGGAATACAAATTATATGATGTTGTTTCCAAACAAGTTTTCATCTCAAGCAGTGTTGTTTTTCATAAGGAAATTTATCATTCCCATATAGTTGTAGAGGCAGATCAGCTTATTGGTCCACTTCCTTATTTGGTCTTGCTTGTTCCTTCATTAAATTCCAATCAGATGCTTGTAATGATACTTCTAAGCAAACACCCACTTCTGCCCCATCTACTGAAACTCACTAGACAGAATTATCTATCCAAGAATTACAATCTATTGATGATGTCCCTGATGGTGATACGCACGATTAGTCTGATGATCATTCCTTAGATATCACACTGTTGTTTGTTTACATTCGAAAGTCATAAAGGACTGTTAAACCTCTAGCTTATCTCAAGGATTTTCAGTTTAACTTGTTCAATCATAATCCCAGTTCCTCCGCTAAGTCACCTTATCATTTTACGAACTTCATATCTTATGCAGCTTTATCCCCATCCCACAGGTAATTGATATTGAATGTCTCTTACAAGCCACCGTTTTTCCATCTAGCTATCAAGTATCCTCAATGGTGTGCAGCTATGAAACTGGAGTTGGAAGCTATGGAACTTAACAATACTTGGTTTGTTGTCCTTTTGCCGGAAGGAAAACATGTTGTGGGCTGCTGATGGATATATAAGATCAAGTACATATTAGATGGTTCAATTGAAAGCCATAAAGCACATTTTGTTGCAAAAGGCTACACACAACAAGAAGGCCTCGATTATTTCGACACCTTTTCTCCGGTGGCAAAAATAGTCACTGTTAAAGTTTTGTTGGCACTTGTAGCTAGTCAAAATTGGCACTTAGTCTAGTTAGATATTAACAATGCTTTTCTGAATGGTGATTTATTTGAGGAAGTCTATATGGATCTTCTCCTTGGATATGAAGTTCACAACAATATCAAATAGGGAGAGGAATTGGTTTACAAATTACAAAAGTTCATCTACGGACTTAAGCAAGCGTCAAGGCAATAGAATTCAAAATTTTCCCGAGCACTTATTCAATTTGGCTTCTAGCAATCTAAAGCTTATTATTCATTATTCACAAAAGGTTTTGGAGATACTTTTGTAGTATTACTGGTATATGTTAATGACATAGTCATAACTGGTCCAAATGTACAAGCTATTAATTCTTTGAAGGAATTCTTACATTCTCAATTCAAAATGAAAGACCTGGGATATCTTTAAAGTATTTTCTAGGCATTGAGGTTGCTCATTCCAACTCAGGCATAGTGATTTCTCTGAGGCATCAAGCCTTGCAACTTCCTAAAGATACTGGTTACTTGGATTGTAAACCATTTAATACTCCCATGGATCCAAAAGTACATGAAGGGGATCTTTTGCCTGATACTTCTCATTACAAAAAACTAATTGGTCGACTGATTTACTTGACAATTTCTCATCATGATATTACTTATGATGTCCACAATTGAGTTAATTCTTATCACAACCTAGATTGCCATACCTCAAAGCAGTGCATCATCTTTTCGATTACTTGAAGAATAGCCCTGATGTCAAGGACCGCAGATTTGCTTAAGTTCCTTGACCTAATCACAGCCGCAGTTGTCCAACTTCAGCAGCACATTGTAAATATTAGTTCAAGTTGAAGTTGTAATTTCCTTTCCATTGTAATAGTTTATTTCAATTGTAAAATAACTCTAATATTGGTTTTTTTTTTTTTCAGAATGCTATTATAGGGAGGAATTAGTCTTTCAAACAATCTTTCAAGCTTTCTGGTGTTTGCCCCCTGACTAGCCATTGTAATTTCCTACTTTAATCAATTGTAATTTCTAGTTTTCAAGCAATCAATGATCAATTTACATTCAATACATTTCAATTTCATGTTGCAAGCTTTCTACAAATTGTAATCAAATTTTATTTCGTCCCGAAACGATCTAGAGAAGGTGGAAGGTAGTTTAGCGGAGTAGACTACCGCCACACGGTGTCCCTTTCTGTGCCAAGAAAAAAGGCACCCCGTGAAAGTTAGTCAAGGTCTATTCGTTTTGGCTTCATCTTCTTCCACATCAAGAGCATTTTCAAAGTCTGTCCCAGCTATCAAACTACAAGCCTTTTCTGATGCAAATTGGGGCTCATGTGTTGATACAAGAAAGTCTACAACAGCTTTTTGCATCATCATTGGAGATTTATTGATTTCTTGGAAAGCTAAGAGACAAGCTACCATACTCGTTCATATGTTGAAGCGGAATATAGAGCACTTGTTGCCACTATTAGTGAAGTTATCTGGATTAATCAATTGTTAAAGGATTTTCAGATACAAATAGCCTCTCATGTTGTTATTTTTTTGTAACAATCAGGCTGCCATACAAATTGCTTCCAATCCCATTTTTCACGAGCGGACTAAACATATAGAAATCAATTGTCACTTCATTTGTGACATAGTTGCAGTTGGTGTGGTAAAACTGCTTCTGGTTCGATCTCAACGTCAATTGGCTAATGTCTTCACTAAGCCTCTTCATATCTCAGTTCTTTTTCCTTTATTAGCTAAGATGTATGTAACTAATAATTACAGTACATCTTGAGAGGGAGTGTTACCTTTTGTATATAGTTAGTTTGCATTATCAACCGCTTTTTGTTAGTTTAGTATTTGGTTGGTTAGTTAAATCTCAGCCGGCTCTAGCTAGCTTTCCATAATTGATTCACAGTTTTAAGTTATAGCAAGTGTACATATGATTTTCAACAAGTGGAATAAAAGAGATTCTTTTCCAATCTCGTTCTTCTTCTTCGTTTCTTCATTTATGCATTTTTGTGTCTAACAACGTCCAATCACGAAAGAGAGACAGTTCACGTAAGGAAGTCGTCTTTAATTGCTCATTATACTTTGAATTTAGAAAAAAAATTATTAAGGGAGAAGGATTAGAATCCATGTTTGCCCTGGTTTACCCAAAAATCAAATTTTTATAAAATTTGATGAAATGTGTGGTCGATAGAAAAAGAGTTTTGAATAGTGATTTTTAGGAAAATGTGTGGTTAAAAAATAAGGAAAAAGTTTTGATATATATGTAGAATATTTTATTAAGTAAATGTGTGATTGAAAATAGTTCTATAATCAGCCATAAAATAAATTAAAGAGGGTGAAACAAGCAAAAGTCGAGCTCCATGGTTGAAATTAAGTTTTTGAAAATGGGGTCAAAGTCATGATTTTTCATTTTTGTAATTTGAGAATTTTGATATGTGGTCATCAGATAAATCAACGCTCATTCCTTCTGTTATTTTTCTATGATCTCGATTTTAAACACATTTTTTCATAGTCCAACTTGGGCTTTAAACAATTTCCTCAAAAGCAAACAAGCCCAGGGGAACGGCGATAATGGCCAGTTGAAGTAGATGAGGAGATAACGCGAAGGGGAGCGGCCAATTGGCGGCTTGTGATAGTCATTATGGAAGTATATTTACTGAGGTTCCTAAATCCAAGTGCTCACGTTCCTCTGCAGCCACTACCATCACTATTTTACGTTTCAAAGAAAACGAGGGGAAATTGCAAATTGAATGCCAAATTCAACAACGAAGAAGATGGCTTATTGTTGAAAGTCGCCACTGAACGCGCTTCTCTTCGTTTCCAGGAGACCCTTCGTCCAGGCATGGCCATTTATCTTTTTCCATGTACATGAATGCATGTGTAGCTGTTTTGTCGATGATATCATTGAGACAATTCGTCAAACATCTACCTGTCAATTATTATTGATGGGTTCTTGGATATCGTTTATTTACGTGTCTCTTTGGATTTTGAAGTGTGAATGAATATATGCCAGAATTTTGAGAAATTGAATGCTAAATTCAAGAGCGAAGAAAATGATTTGTTGTTCCAAGTTGATCTTTTCTGCTTTTCCAAGTAGACCCTTCTTACAGGCATAATTATCTTTTCATTTCTATTTCCATGTATATGTTGATAATACGTCCAATGATAATACAAATGGAACTCAAAAAATATACGTAAAACACAAAACAAAGATGGAAGAAAAATCTTGATTAAAATTTCTCCCATATATTAACTTCATCATGTTCGAGGCATGTGCAAGTCAGATTTATGTTTCATCAAAGATCTTTCACGTAAATTTTTTGTGAAATAAAAAAGTGACAACAAGAATTCAACCTAATACCTTCGTATATCATGTTCAAGACACAGTTGTGAACAAAAATTAAAAGTTATATATAAACCACAATTTGATCAGAACAGCTCCAAGAAGCCATCTAATTGATATACTGCAATTTATAGGTATGATAGTTCCCTTATAAGGCAGCAATGACTACCAAATTCTTAAAATTGTCCCAAAAATGATAAAAGGGGTATTAATATCTGAAGCTAACAACAACCTTAAGGGATATTCTATATTTTTTTATTTTTTGAGTGATTTCGGATGGGGCAATAGTTAAAGCTCAAACAAATCAAGAGAAATATCTACATGTTTTTGTAAATCCATTTATTGCCTGCATCAAGTGACATACTATGAATAGTCATACCCAATTTATTGTCCCAGCTGAAACAGAACGGCCTTTTTCCTTGAATACAGGAAGTGATTCACCAGTAAGCATTGACTCGTCCACAACACTGCGACCTGCAAGGACTTTTCCCTGTGTGCAAAATTAGATATTTCCCATTCAGCATGTAAAATGACATTTTATTCGCGTAATCAGGAAAGACGTACACAAAGCATCACTGCCATAGAAAAAGATTCGGGTGTTCTCTAATCACCAATACTAAAAATAAACAAAACCTCAAAGAAACGTGCTGAAAAAAATTATGATGTTAAAGTTCACAATTGAACGCCTCCAGAAATCATTATGACAGCTTAAGACAGTTGCTCAAAATGAGAATCACTTACATCTACAGGAATTGTTTCTCCAGGCAAAACCAGTACACAGTCTCCAGCTCTAATATCATCTGTTGGAACTTCAAGACACATAGCATCAGAACAAATAACGCTCTCAACTGATTGATCGCTGCCTGATGGAGTAATCACAAGTCTTGATTTCGTGGATATAAGTGACTGCAGAGTCAAGATTGCCATTTTTCAAGAAAATATAAAAATATATAGTTAGGTCAAGGATAAATTATCCATTTCAAACAAAAAGATGTGTTTGACACGAAGTTCATAAAAGATTTCCCAATAGTGGTAGACATGGAATTCAAGAAAAGTGTGTGTTTCCTGTAAGTAGTACACCTCTATGAAACTTTTTTTCGTAAAGCATATATTTATTTGATAGTAGAAACCATTTGAAAAGTTAATATTAATCTCATTGAAGCAAGTCTCATCGACACAAAACACACAAAAACTTACTAATAGCTCATTCATGTCACTAGATGCTCTGATCCTCGCCCTTTCTTCTAGTGCACGCCCCAATAGGATAAAACCAAGAAGCATAACCTGCATTCTAAAAAACAATTACTTAATGACAAACTTGTTTCAATCAGTAAGTAGGTAGTCATAATGCACTTTCACTTTATGGAAATTCACCTATAAGCAAATAATGTGTTTGAAAAGGATAAATGTTGTCTCGGGATACAGCCACTCTTGTTACAAAATGCAATTATGCACATGCAACAGATAACAGCCATTTCTATGCGTTACACATGCTGCTATTGATATGATAGATTAAGGGTCAAAAAGGATGAAAATTACACGTGCATGGTGAACCAGATAATTGATGTGATCTTGCACAAAATACACACCCAACAAGAGCACGAAACTGAATGTTTAAAGACAATATCATCAATATATCATATGTGGAGTGTGAGGCGGGAAAAAGTAAGAAAGAATGAATTCAAAAGGTAGAGCTAAACTGATGGAACTTCCATTTCAATGATTGAACATGATGATGCGTAAGCTGAAAATGCAAATTTGGGAAGAGCTAAAAAGCAAAGTAAGATAAGTTATAGCAAACCATACCGGTTCATCAAAAAATGTTGCATTCCACTGAAGTTCAACATTGAAGAGGGACACCTGCAAAACATAAGATTTATTAGTTATGCAAAGTAATAAAAAAGAAGAAAACTGAAATCATAGCAAAGCACAGTTAAATCACTAATCCTGTGTCCAATGAGTCCTTACCGCACTTATGGCAAAGGCAGCAATAGATCCAAAGCCAACAAGGGAGTTCATATTTGGTGAGCCCTTGTTAAATGCTCTTAATCCATCAAAAAGCAAGTCTGGAACATAATTTGTTAGATATTTTAGGAAATAAAGTTAATTATATCAAGCAAATAATCGAAATATCTGCTACAAAAAATTATGAAGTCTGCGGAGTTCACCTCAAAGGTACTTGAGACCTAGTAATCAAATTAATAGATACAAACTACAAACAGGATAATTAAAGGTCTTGATGGAACAAAAAGATTCGTATTATAAATAAATATGTGTGCCAATTATCTGATCGTGCTTGAGAATGAAACTGAGAGTAAAGAAATTTAGTTACGAACGGTGAGTTAAATGAAAAAAAATGCAGCCAATGAGTTCTAGCTAACCTCGTCCAGGTCCCAGTAGAGCGCCCAAAGCCAAACCACCTTTCACATACGAATTGTGTAGTACATCCAAAATTGATCCTAAACAACAAAAATATATTAATCATAACTAAGTCAGCGAATGTTGTACTGTTCGCATTCACAGGTTAGACATTTCCTAAGACTATAGTGAGAAAAGATGTGCGACTACAATAGTTTAGGCATACGGTACAGAACAAATGCGTTGCACATTATGCACCAGCACTTGTAACTTACTGAAAAGGTGAAATCTAAGTCCTCACCGTGACCGAGATGAATGCCAAGGGAGTGTAGAATATGTGACGCGTGAGAGCCACAGCAGAGGGCAACCAAAGTCCAAGCAAAGGCCACACGATTCCTACTCTTCACAAGCAGCGCCTCCTTTCTCTCCACCGTCTCCCTCCACTTCTTCACCTTTGCCTCCACTCCAATCCCCGACGGCCTCCTCCGAGCGTCGAATCCACTCGCTGTCACTTTCTTAGCCAGCTCATCTGCTACATCTGGATAACTCTGTTCACCTCCCTCCTTCAGCTTGATTGCCGCTGTCTCGGTCAACATGTTCACTACGACCGAGTCAACGCGCTCATCGGAGGCAATGATGGACTTGACGCGCGTGACGCACGCGCCGCACATCATTCCGGATACATCCAGAAGCACTGTGGAGATCAATTCTTCTTCAGCTGGTTTGTCTTGCAGTTGGAGTTCAGGCGCCTTAAATTCGATAGCTTTTGAGAAAACGCGGTTGACAGTACGGACTCCTGGCAAATATACACGATGCAAACGGCGCCGTGGTGGTAGGAGGATGCGGTGGACATTGAAGTGAGTCAAGCTTGTGAGCTTGGTGGAAGAGAAGGGTTTGAGAGAGAATCGGAGAAGATCGGTTGTGGACATTGTCGTAGGTTTAGAGAGAGAAAATGGAGGGGCGGTGGGAATATAGAGCGCGGTGTTTAGAGACCGCGGGTGGGGGCACGTTTGACATGTGGTGTAGACTGAATTTGAGTTGTTGTGACATATAATAATCTATGTCTATGTAATCATAAAACACGTGATCCAAATTGGAAATTTGAAAGTTAATGAGCTTATTAATTTTTCTATTTTCTTTTCCATCAATTTGTATCTGATTAAAGATTATTTTTGGATGGTTAATATAATATTTTTCTTATTTTTTATTCATTGTTATTTTTCATTCTCTCGCGTCCAATAATATTTTTTTAGAAATAAAATTAAAGATGACGCTCTAAATTAATATTTCATAATTTCTACGATATTTCATACATTATTTTTTAATGTTTTAAACAAATAACTTTTAAATAATAAGATTTAGCTCATGTTTGAGTCACATTAAAATTTTCATTCTCATTTTTCTACTCACTTTCAACCACGCATTCTTCAATAAAATAATATTTTTCATCACATCAATAATTTTTTTTTTTTTTCAACCACACATTTTTTATCAATCTAATATTCCAAAATACATTCTTTCAAAATAATGTGGTTCAAATACACTCTTATACAAAAAAATTCCATCACGACAATTCATCATTTTACATGTTTTATATAGTATGAGATTTTCAAAGAAATAGCTTAGCAACGATATTAGCAGCACTTATACAATTAGCCATTGTTTGAGCACTTTTTTTTGGCAAAAAATGCATTTTCGAATAGTGTTTTGTTGAAGATTGTGTAATTAAAAGGTAATGAAAACTTTTCGATTTATGTGTGTAGTTTTATTTTATAGAATAATATATTGTTGAAAATGAATTTTGAAAAAAATAATTTTTTTAAAAAAAATGGGGGCCAAACATACTCGCATGTTTGTTTCTCATTTTTATAGCAAGAATGTAATTTATAATAGCAGATTGATAGAGAACGTGTGTTTAAAAAATAAGAAAAAATTTCGAGTTTATATATAATATTATTTTATTGAAAAATGTGTTGTTAATAAAAATGAGAAAAATGTATTTTAAGAAAAATAAGTATCAAACAAGGATCCATATATTAAAGTATCAACTTTTTGGCAATATATTTTTTTGTAAGAACTTAACAGGTAAAGGTTTCACTTACAAAATTCTGCTCAGAACAATCGTGCTAAACAGACCATTATTCTTCACGGTGAATTAGTTCAATTTATTTTGCCTATATTTGATTTGATTAAAAATCATATTTTTAATAAAATTTGATAAAATTTGTTGAAATGTTAATTAAAAAAATCGGTGTCCCACAAAATGTATGATTAAAAATAAATTTAATTTTAAAAAAAATTTAAGACCATATAGGGATTTTATATAAAAAACATTATGGGGGCGCATATCTAGTTTTGTGGATTTTCATTTGCACCTTCTCGATGAAAATAAATTAAAATGCAAATAATTCAAATTATTCTCAAGATCTCGTTATTCAAATGCCTCAAACTTTGACATTTGATCCATGTTTGGTTTAATTTAATTTAAAATTAATAATTAATTTTAACCATATATTTTATTAACTTTTATCAAAATCTACTAAATATATTATTTTTATCTCAACCAAACAGGGGATTAGTGTTTGATTAGGAAAGCTTAAAAAGTTGTTTAAAATTTTCGATAACACGCTTGAAAAGACCCCTTTAAAGTAGGTTTCAAATTGCTTGGTAGGTAGAAAGCGCTATTACAAACCATGACGAGTAGTTGGCTATGAATTTATACAGTGGATAAGAACAGATAAACCAATGGTCCAATCAGCACAGTAAATATTAAGAGCCCGTTTGGTGCACATTAAAATGGGATAATGCATTTTTTTGAAGTGATGCGATGAGGAGTATGTAATTGAAAAATAAGGAAAAATTATTGATGTGATGAAAAATATTATTTTATTGAAAAATATGCGATCGAAAATGAGTAAAAAAAATGAGAACGAAAAAAACATTGTGACTCAAACATGGGCTAAGTCACTTTTTGAGCCACATTAACTTATTTTCATTGAATTCATTTTTAATAATACTTTTTTCAATAAAATAATTTTATGCGTAAATTAAAATATTTTTCCTATTTTTTAACTACACCTTTCAAAAAAGCGTTATTATAAAAATCTACTCACCCAACAAATGAGACTCAAACAAACCCTAAATTAAGGTGTGTGGTGGATATTGTTGAGGACATAATGTATTTTAAATAGAGATATGGAAATATGTGGTTAAAAAGTAAGGAAAAGTTATTGATGCGATGAAAAATATTATTTTATTGAAAAATGTGTGGTTGAAAATGAGTTTTGAAATAATGTATTTTGAAAGAATGTGTACCAAACGGAGACTATATGGACTAACAAATCAGCAATTGATTTAGCCCCTGTTTGTTTTCCATTCTTTCAAAACTCTTTTTTCTACATACTCATTTTTAATCACACATTCACACAGTAAAATATTTTACACGTAAGCCCAAAACTTTTCACTACTTTTAACCACGCATTCTCCAAAAAACCACTATTTATAAAAATGTTTTCCTAAAAAATGGCAACCAAACAAGGGGCTTATTTATTAATAGTCAAAAAATACAGGGACACTTATCGTTACGGTATTGAAATTCAATTTAAGTTCTAAATCTTGCATTTGGGAGTTTTACAGGAAATCTAGGAGTTGATCTTGAGAAATACTTTTTGTCCATTTTCAATCTTTAATACCGCAGGCTTCTTTTCTATGTATATTACGTCAATTTATGAGTAATGTAACATATGTTAACCACTAGATATTGGGGCTAAGATTCCAAGAAGCTGCTTGTTCTATCATATTCCATCAGAGACCTTTGATATTCAACAAATTTTACGCAGTAAAGGATTTGATGGTGCGAGACCAAGTGTATGGGCCTTCCAGGTAATTAGATCTAATGAAAATTTATATGAACTTTCTTTGAAGTTTGTTTTATTTACTTGCTCCTGTTGGAAAAGATTGGTATCAGTTACTTCTTCTAGGTCTACATGTATGTTTGGTGGAGCTTATAATTGCCTATACGTTGGTCAAACTCTTTTTTTATCCATACATTCCGTAGCATTCACAATTTTTAACTACCTTTTAACCACACATTCCTGAGACCCACAACTTATAAGCACTTAAAAAGCTTAGCCAGGCAAGCACTATAATTTTGCACATTTTCAAATGTTGCTCGTAGAAAGTTAAACAAATTGTGTACTTTGGTTTTATTTTCTAGGGACTACCCATAATGAATATGGCCAATTTTAAAGAGATTTTGGAGGTTGTCAGTAACTTAGCCATGAAGGGATGTCTTTTATTGGGAGAACTGCCTGCTTGGTTGGCTGAAACTGAAGGCGGGGTCAAGGTTAGCACGCTTAATTGTTGTTCTATGTGCATGACATCTGTTTAGATTTTTATCAGCTTTTCATTGGAAGAAATGCTGCTTCATTCTTGTTTTTTGACTTCTGTTATTTTTATTACATTTTCACCGAAAGAAACATTTGCCTCTTTCTTCACTTAATCTAGTCCACCACAAGATGGATGGACAAGCTTTTTATGAGCCATGGTTTCAATGTGGACATTATTGCATACGGTGAAGTTGCTGGGAACCTTGGAGCAGAATCCTCGGCAAATGACTACAACAATATACTTTTTGTTGCTGAGCACCTGAGACATTCTGATGATCAGGTTTGGAGATTCCTATTGTGCTCAATGATACAAAATGCATGATACTCCCGTATCATTTGTCGAACTAGTTCAAAATTACTCTTCTAAATAGGCAGTTCAAGCGTTTTTCAGTTGAAGAGTTGGAGATTAACGTTCTGCTTGTTAGTTCAATGACTTCAATGTTAGGGCATGCCGCATGTGCATTCACCTCGCCTAGTTCAGCCTCCGTGTGAGAAGAATTTATAAACAGTTTATAAATGGTGTATGAATTTTGTACAAAATCTAACATTAATTTCAACCACAGATTCACACCTACTACTCATTATTATCCACACATTTCGTAGAATCCACTACTATTCTTCTTTATAGAACATTTATATATATTTGTCAAACGGAGGCTTAATCATTTTTATCCTTTTATTTTTTTTATTTCATCACACTATTTCAGTATCTAGACTAGTTTTTTGTGCGATTTCCACCTTTCAAAATCCTCTTTTAGCTGTTGTAAATTCCCTTGATTCGGTGCACCCCTATATATTGGCATCCATGGTTGATTTGTTGTGCCTAATTATACCATACACTTATCCCATCCAACCTGGATCAAGCTGGTTGCCCGAGTATTCCTATTATTTTTTTGTTAAACGGGTATCTTAGGTATTCCATACATGTATCATGTCGCCTCAATATTCTATATTATGGATGACTTTCAGTGGCTAGTTTGAGAGTGTTAGAGGCATAAGATTTTGTATAATGAACACCTGCAATGGTAAAAGTTAACATCTCTTACAATAGGGTGAACCACTATAAATATTTTGGCTTTTCACTTTGGTTTTTATTATGTTGCTTTCGATGGTATGGATTAGGGCTTAATACATAATAATGTTGACATCTATAAGATAATTTGTGTTCCAACTGATAGTTCCACATTCTGTGCAGATGGAAATCTGGAGGAGAGAGTTTCAGAGGATAGAGGAAGAAGGAGATGAAGAAGGCTTTGAGGAGCTCTGAATGCACAATTTGTTGAAAATCATTGGTTATTGTAGTAAGAACTGTCCTTCAGGATTGGCTCTTCTTTGCATGATAAAAAGTAAGAACATGGCTGTCTTGTTGTATCCCTTCACTTCAACTTTAGTATTTTTAGAAAGACCTTTATTATGGTTTAGGTTAGTCCATTTAATTTGATAATATTCATCGGTCCACTTCATTACAACATCGAGTCAATAATTATTGTTGATTCAGTAGACAACCCTTTAATTACTTGTTCAGGTTTGAACTCGATAAAGAGAAATGCTACATGTAAAGGTTGTTTTTACGTATTTGTTTACACAATGTCAACTAGTAAGATTCAATTGAATTTTGGACAAAATAAAGTTAAACCAACTAATTAAATTCTGTTATTTCAGCACTCGTAAATCCATCAGTACAAAGAATTTGTACAAGTAGCATTTTTGCTTGATAAAAGATATTACTTCTCAATAAAGATACGTCTCGTTATTAGTGATGGCAATGGCCAAAGGTCGTGCTCGACAAGCTCAATTTTTTTTTTTTTTCAAGTGACCAAACGATCAATTTTTCAAAAATATGTAATTGTTTAGTCACTTTTTTGACGAGCCCACGAGTTGCTCTTGCTTGGCTCATTGTCTGACCTCCCGCTAGTGCTCGGACTCGTCTTGAAACGAACTCGAACCGTCCATAGGTCAATCTTCGACAAATCGAGCCTACAACCTACTCGTCCCTTTTGTCACTTCTACTTGTTATTCAACTTAATTAATGAACTTCATATCGACATAACAAATAAAAAAATATTCTATTTGTCGTAGGTTTTAGGCGTAAGATAATGATTAGTATCATTATGGCCTCAATTGGTGGTATTGATTTTTCAACAGCCACTCCCAATATAAAGAACTTGAGGGTGATTTCACAATAAAGATTCCTTGTCGGATTTATTGCAATATTATATTTCATAATAATATGCCAAGTCTTATTTAGAGTTTGTTTTGCACAATATATTTGAAACTTATTTTTTTCAAATACATTTTTAATCATTAATAAAATAATTTTATACGTTAATTCGTAATTTTACTCTATTTCTAATTATATATTCTTCAAAAATATTATTTTTCACTTCAAATAATTTCTCCCAAACTAACACTGCTAGATCGATGAAGAAAAAGTAAACATTGCTTATTAATTATCTCGTCTAATATCATGAATTGTTCTAATTAAACACAATAGAAGTTTATTTAGCCCATATTTGGACTCCAATCCATTCTCAAAAAAAAAAAAAAAATGCTTATCTTTCTTATTTTCAATCACATTCTTCAATAAAATAATATTACACATAAATAATTAAAAAAAAATTATTTTTTAACCACGCATTTTTAAAAAAATTACTATTTAAAATTACATTTTTTTCCAAAATGTATTTTAATGGAGCTCAAACAAGGGCTTAATTAAAGTAAACGTTGCTTATTAACTATATCGTTTGGCGAGATTTGTTGAAGAGGATAAACACAATATATGTTCATTTAACTGAAGTCTATGTTCAACTTGTACTTTTGTGTGTAAATTTAATTCTTTTTTCATCAAGAGTTGGATATATGATTTTTGGGGATCAATTACGATTTGTACTTAGGTCTTTTGCGTGGTTCTAATATCATTTTAATTATTTCATTTTTATGTTCAACGAAAATATTCGAACAATCAAATAAAGATGGATGTTTAGCCCATAGTTGTCAGACTCGATTCGGACATAGATCCGAAAAATGCAGTGAATCAATGGGTTAGTGGTTCGATCGGTGACCTGATAGTTCAACCGACCGGGTCATTGCATAAAAACCTACAAAAAAATATAAAGTATAAATTTTTTTTAGGGGCAAAATTAAAATTTTTAATTTATTTTTCACTAATTATTTAGGTTTATAAAATAATGTAAAATATTTGACCAAAATTTTTTAAAAGAATATTTTTATAAAAGTTATAAACGATTCATTAGATAGATATAAATTATTGCACACATGTGCCACTAAAGTACTTTAGTTCAAGTGGTGAGGAATTCATTGTTTTTTCTTAGAGATCTAAGGTTCAATTCCCTTGGACCCAAAAATTTTGTAAGAGAATTTTAAAACACAATCAAACCGGTCAACCGAGCCGAGTAAACAGTCGGTTAACCCGGTCAAAGCGCCGGTTAACTCCCGATTTTGACCGAGTCAACTACATTTCACATAAATGACATGGTCTTGTCTTGTGTCATTGCCAACGTATATAATTTAACTGCTTGTTTGTCTCCCATTTTGGAAGAAGAAATAGAGTTTTGAGTAGTATTTTTTGGAGAATGTGTGGTTGAAAAGTAAACTAATTTTATGGTTTGTGTGTAGAATATTTTATTGAGTGAATATGTGGTGAAAATTGTTTACTGTAGCAAACAGTGTTTGATAAAATGGATGACAAACTGGAGCTTTATAAGGTAATTATATTCCCACCACATTTCATTTCTTTCATCACATCTTGGTTATATTTAAGATTCTTAATTTTGGCTCATTAATGCGCTTATATTCCTAACTATTTTTCATATCATTCTTATTCATAAATTTTTCATTAATTAATACATTTTGTATTTGATATCAATTTTATGTCCAAAATTCCGTTGAAATTGCATAAAAGAACTTATTTTTCAAAAATAAAAAAATAAAATGTATGAAAAATATTTTTCCCTCATTTCAAGTATAAAAACAAAATATTTTATAAAACATCGTCAATTACGAGACATACTAATTAATGAAATGTTGAAAATAAGAGTTGAGGAAATAATTGTTACAATAAACAAAAATTGAAGAGTTTAATTACAATTAAAATGTAATTTATCAGATAAAAATTGTAACAACAATATAATCATTTTTTTAACAAAGAAAATGAAATCCAAAGATTCCAAAGAGAGGGAATAAAACCAAGAAACAAAACATGCCGCCTTAGGGCCTGCTTGGGAGTTTCACTGTATCAGTTATGAGTGTTTTTTAAAGTATTGATTTTGAACATTTATGAGCAGATCAATTTTGAGTGATTTTAGTAGCAGTTTTTAAAACTTTCCAATCTATGCTTGTGAATTTATTATTCACTAGTTATGAAAGTTTTTTAAAAAAATAAAATTACGTATATATCATTTAGTAAAATTTTCTTTTATATGAATTTTTTATACTCATAAATGATAATTTACTTTTAGATATTTTTTTTACATATAAGTTAATTTTTTTACTTATAAGTAAATTTTACAATTATACGTAAATTTTATATTTTTAAATAACTTTTAAGTGAAGTTTTTTACTTATAAGTAATTTTTTTTATATTTTATAAGTGAATTTTGTCTTATTAGTAGTATTTTTATTTTATAACAATTTTTTTATATAAAAGTGATTTTTTACTTATAAGTAATTTTTAATTATAATGTATTTTTTCTTATCTTACAAGTAATATTTTACTTATAAGTATTTTTTAATTATAATATAATTTGTGAAATGATAAATAATTTTTTGCTTAATATATTTTCATTTAAAATTTGGTTTTGAACAAAATATATTGGTTGGAAATAAATATTTTATAAAAGGTAAAATTAGAAGAGAATATAAGAAACGGTCAAAACTCGCCAATTTGGTGGGTTGGGAGAACCGTTCAAAATTACACTACACCGATTTTGGGTGGTTTCTAAACTATTCAAAATCAGTGACCAAAAAAATTAGCAAATACCGATTTTTCCAATACCTCATAAACTGTGCCACCCAAAATCAAAGTTAAAAAAATCCCAAACAGGCCCTTAGGTTTCCAATTTCCTATAAATAAGGTTCTCTTGCCAAACAAATTCATAACATCGTAATTCGTAACCCCAAAGAAGCCTTCAAAGGGGAGAGAGAAAGAAGAGAGAGAGAAGGAAAGAGTTCCTTGTTCCGCCGCTGCAGTAAGGTTTTCTTTTTTATTCGGAGAAGAAGGGAGAAAAACTTTCTGCAGCAGCTTTTAATTATATTTTCATTTTCATTTAATTTCCGTAAGTAAGTTTCACTCACAAAAATGGCTCGTTCATTCTCCAATGTTAAAATTGTATCTGCTTTCCTTGCCAACAAAGTCTCTGCTGCTGCCACCGGGTATTTCCTATTTTTCAATCTTTTCATTTATCAAAAATGTTGGGTTGTGCGCTTGTGCTTAAAAAGTGGCCAAATCTTTCTTTTTTTTGGAAAGCGGGACGTATCTTTTAGGAAAAATGAATATCTGATAATCAATTGTTTGATTTCTTATATAAGCCATTATTTTTTCAGTTTTTTTGATGAGATTTTGGTGTATAAAATGTATATACAGGCGTGGATACTCAGCGGCAGCTCAGGGCGGCGTGTCGAAGAGCCTGAGCGGCGGAGGGGTGGCGCCGAACATGATGTTGAAGAAAGGGGTGGAGGAATCCAGCAAGACTACTTCATGGGTACCGGACCCAGTCACCGGTTATTACCGGCCGGAGAATCAAGCGGCGGAGATTGATGCCGCCGAGTTGAGGGCGTTGCTTTTGAAGAATAAAATGAGAGCACACTAGATCAGAAGAAAATTGAATTGGGCTTTTATGGCGTCAGCGTGGTATTACGAGCTAGTGAAAATGAAGGAATTTGTTAAGAAATCTTGCTGTGATTCTTCAGTGCCGATGTGTTTGTGGCTCCTCTGTGTTTCTTGTGTTCTGCGTGAAACTTTTTCTCATTTTAAATAAAAATGTTACTTGTTTAATTATAGTTTTTTTTTTATTGCTAAAAAAAGTATCTTTTAATTAATATAATAGATTGTTTATTTTAATTTAATTCTTTACTCAAATAAGTTAACATTTTAAGCTTTGCCAAACACGATAACGGATATTAAGCCCATGTTTGGTTTGGATTAAAATCCAATTAAAATTTCAAGTCTAAGTCAACAATTAATTTTAACCACATATTTTATTGGACCCACAATTTTTCAACCACATATCTCATCGACTTTTATTAAAATCTATTAAAAATTTAATTTTAATCTTTACCAAACAAGGGATAACATTAGAACAATGAATTCGATTTTTATACCAATCAAATTTAACAGACTTGAAGGGATGGGTGGAATTGATTGAAATAAGATTACAAATTCTGTTATACTTAAAAATATCAGAACATAATTTTGAGGAGCTCCTAATTTTCACTGCATGATCTACAATTAGATCAAAACATCTTCATGATGTAGGGTGTGTGTAAGGCTTTAAGCCACGTTATTTTGGAATAATGCATTTTGAAATAGTAGATTGATCGAGAATGTACGGCTGAAAAAGAAGGAAAAATTATTGATGTGATGAAAAATATTATTTTATTGAATAATATGTGGTTGAAAATGAATAGAAAAATGAGAATAAAAAAATAATGTGGCTCAAACAGGGGCGTAATTTTCATAACGTAATGCATCGAAGTAACTTGGGAGGACTCTCTCGAGAATTTTGGATCAATTCAACGTACCAAATATATTTATAACTATATACTCAGGGACGGAGTTAGAATTGTAGAGTTGTGGGGCCAAATTTTTACGACTAAAATCGTGGGGGGAAAATCTTTAAATAAAAAATTATAATTGTGGGGCAAAATTTACATAAAAGGTCGCGAATGAATATTAAGGAGCCTAAATATTTAGAAAATCTCATTGGCTGTGGGGGCAGCCGACTCCACTACCCCACACTAAATCCGCCACTATGTAATGTCCTAGTTTTCACTATTTTTTGACGATCCTTTTCCCTTCTCGTCTTCCACCCAAAAAAATTGTGATACTATACAAAGTCAATGTAATAATGTACAAATAAAGAGTGAGCTCGATTGCTGAGCTCACCTTTTATAAGTTACACATTTTAATACTCTATTTTTTAAATTATTGAAATCTTCTTCGAATTGTTTGAACTTTGACGTGAAGAAACAGATAACCTTGTTGAACTTTATAAAAAAATTACTCTCTAAATTTAAAGATATCTGTTGGAGATGAGTTTGACTTTGGGGAATACGAAAGAAATTGTTAGATAAGCACAATTTTAAAATGAGAAATTCGTGTAAGTTAACAGTTTGGACATAAATCTAGATCGTAGTGTCAATGTTAATTGGAAAACGCCCACCGAGTCAACTTAAGGAAACCGTCCACGAGGTTAGTGAGTGACTTGATAGACATTATTCTTGGTTGCTTCTGGAGAATAGAAAAGGAATAAACTAATAAATATCACACACAGTCCGTTTTTTAATAATAGCATTTAGTGTTGACAACGACAAGAGGCGAGATTGTTGTCCACTTTCAATGGATGCGGCGGATTCATCGAATCGTGAATCAGAAATATACGTTATCTATGTAGTGGCTGAGCATGCACCACAGACAAAATTGTTGTTACCTACGAATACAATGAATTATTTAGGTCCCATGTGCATATATATATCAATTATGATATTTTGTACAATCATACTTGACAATAATGGTTGATAATATTAGTGATGAGTATAGTTTCGAGATCATAAATTATGATATTTTATTTTCATTTGAATAAAATTCTACTTAACTTATGTTATATTGTATTATTTATTGGCTTTTGTCAAATATGAGTTAGAAAAATTAGATTAAATCCTGAAGTATAGTATTCGTGGGAACAATATCCGAACTCAAAAGTTCACTGTACTATTTGTTACGATATCGTACATTGAAGATATAAAAAATGCAACAATTAATATTGTCAAAATCCGAATTATTAATCTAAAAAGCAGTTTTTGAAATGGATGAATATAATGTTGTCAAGTGTGAATTATCATCAAATATTGTCAAATTAGATTGTGAGCATGATTCTATGTGCATAGCAAAAACAAGCAAGGAACGTGTCTCTTTATTGGTCGGGGAGCCATTTGATTTTTACACAAGTGCTCTTCTAAAAACTTAATTCTTAAAACTTGACCAAAAATTTAAGGACTATATATGACCTCAGACCATCGGAGAGGCATGACACCATGCCTTATCAACCTCCACTGTCTATACTCCTCTAAATACCAAGCACAGCTCAGATGTGAAGGTATGTAAACTCAATATTTAAAAATTTGCAAATTCCATAAAACGTGAAATTAAAATTAATTGTTGATTATAATTTAAATTTTAATCTAACTTTTTAGTGGAATCAATCATGCTTAGGGCGTGCTCGGTAGAGATTAAAATAGGATTAAAATTGAAAAGCTAGTCATTATTGTTGACTTTTATTAGACGAGTGTGATTCAATAACGGTTATATTTTCAATTATAATCGGATTTTAATCTTTACCAAACGGGCTCTTAATATCAGCTCTATCAAATTTCTTCAAAACAATTGGTGAGGGCCTAACCTGAAGTAATGGAGTGTTTTCGGCAATCTCATGCCCTTTTTCTCTGGTGGCCTAGCAGTCTGGCATGCATTGTTGTACATATTACACTTTTTTTAGTAACGTCGAAGTCTAGTTACAGATTTACCGGGTCGACCGGAATGATTGTGTTACAGGAAATTCGATTATTTTGAAGGAGAAACAATATACATACATACATACATACATACATACATATATAAGCTTTCATTGATAAATGCTGTTCGAGGTAAAGACTATACCTTGAAACGGAGAGAATACTCCTGCAAACTGGGAATCAAGCACTGTCTCTTCATTATGTAAATTCTGTCCATTTCAATTGAATGATTCATATAGAAGCAGCAGTAAGTCTTATTAATTGGGAACCCAAGACACATTTCTATCCTCACGTGTCTTCCAGCATAAAATGAAATATTCTCAACATCTTCAGACAGTGTTACATTGTATCATGAGATCAAGAACACCCTGTTGCTGCTGGTCAGCAATCAAGACAGAAAACCCATGTAACTCTAAAATAATACAAGCATTCAATCTGTATAGTTTCCAATATTCTCCAGCCTTTTAGCATCCAATACATTAACCCACCTCGACCTCGTTCGCAAGCGCTAATAACCCACAAAACATGAAGCACAGAAGTTCTCCTGGGCCAACCCTTTAAAAATATACGTATGCGGAACCCCTCTACAATTTTGCCTCCAAGTTCCCTTCTCCCACGACCATTTTCCCCTTCATGTTCGAGTACAAAACTCAACCCGGTTCTACAGTCAACAATCGACATTCTCAAAGGCAGCCGTACTTCTAAATCTCCACCACAAACAATTATTACAAAAAGTACAAGATAAAAACTGTTGAAGATTACTTAATTACACTCAAATTAAAGGAGATTGTTATGAAATGATAGATGTTAGAATATGATACATCACCACCCAAGAGACAAAAATAACCAGTTAGAATATTTTTCACTATATACATAAAGTTGATAAATCTTTGCCACTAATATAAAGAAGAACTCGGTGTGTTAACTTTTAGAATAGACCTCAAAATATTATGAACTCCCCAATTTGATAGATGTCCATTGGCGTTAATACTGATAACTGAAATAACTAGCAAGCTGTATTTTAAAATCTCTTCCAATCATAATTTCAACTACACAGTCTACACTAGCGTTTGTTTTCCACTTATCAGTTGCACATGTGGTTAAGAACTATGTTTCCATTGCTTTCAGGTCCCCTCAAACTCAAAATGGTGCTCAAAAAGTATATTGAGTTCGGAAAATAAATTCTACTAGCCAATGATATTATCTCGAAATTGCTTCAAGAGGATGGTCTTTGGTAGGAAAATTGCAACTGACGAATTAAAAGAAAAATAAAGCCAAGAACGGGTGGATAAGTATTATCTTTGAAACGAGATCAATAATCAATTACTAAAGGAAACGAAGAAACAATGTCAAGAACCGTTAAATAAAAGTTATAACTGGAAAACTTCAAAATATGGTCATGAAACGATTCACTAAAAATGAAAAAGAAAAGAATAAGATCAAAGGGGAAAAGGGATATTTAGGAAGAAGGTTTGGATCACCACTGTCATCCCAGCCTCCTCGATCCCCCCAAAACAATCATATTTTGGCACATCACAATGTTTGTCTCCTTGCCTTTCTTTCCAATACACATAACACAATTAAGCCTAAACAAGTGATTATAAAGACGGTCCACGCAGAGCATTGAATGATGTGGAAAAGGAATAATTTTCAATCACTTTCCTTCTTCCATCGCTGCTATATTGTATGTATCAGACAATAATATCTCCTTTGAATCATGCTTGATGCTCGCAGGATCGTGAACAACAAGAATACAAGAAGAACTCACATTAAAGAAAGCAGAACTCACACCATACAATTCCTCTGAATATAAAAACTCCAGATTATACACCTCAAACAGAAACATAATTAATCGCATAATAATTGAAGGGAAAAAATGGGATCATGAGCTGCAATAATTGAATCAAGAACATAATAAAGAACGCATATGACATGTATACAATTCAAGATTATACTCCTTGAGAACAAGTGAATAACATAACTAATCACAAATGAAACAAACAGAAAAAGTTAAGATCTTCGAAATCATGTGTCCAACTGACCTGAGCTAGATTGAAGTAGCAAATGCATCAATACTAAACTTCCTCTTCCATGCATTCTATAAATATTTGCAATCCAATCGACACCCACATTGTGGGCACTCTTAGAAATTATTAATCATAAAATCAGCAGACGACTGAAAATTCAAGATCATCCCCATCCCCACTTCTCAAAACCTCCACAAGTTTATCTATTCTAGGAACTGTGCAACCTTAACTTTTGCAAGCGTTCCCTCACCCTCACCAATGGTTCTTCAAAGATCATATATTCTAGGAACTGTGCAACCTCAACTTTTGCAAGCGTTCCCTCACCAATGGTTCTTCCAAGATCATATTCAGCCTGAATTTCAAGAACAGTCTCCTTATCATCACCAAGAATTACTTCTGTGCACTTAATAGGAAATGCATACATGTATTGAGGGAGAGAAGGCACGTGTAGATGTTACAAATAAATCTTAATAACAAAAGCATTTTGACATCAAATACAAGGTTGCTGACAAAAAAACACGGCAACAAATTGTTCAATAAGCAAATAAATTACATAGGAGAGGTTGCAAATTGCAATAGTTCTCCACTTAGAGAAGGCAAAAGTAGAAATGAATTAAAATCAAGTGATATTAACGAGGTCTTGGAGAATCATATAAGAATACAAAAAAGATTGATTTTTAAAATTCAGGATGCACATTTCAGGCGAACTAAAAGAAGTCTTGGAGAATCAAACCAAACAATTGAATCACCTCATATGTCAATGTACCACCAGAGGAATCAGGTTGACGAAGAGTTACACTTGAAATCACACCATTTATATATATAGGCAAAAAGAACAACATTCATATAACAAAATTATGAAAATTAAATACCTATTTTAATCTGAGACAGAGAGGTGTAAGAAATACAAGAATCATACCTAAAATTGGCGATGCAGCTTGATGATCCCAATCCTGAAGTTGGAAAAGTTGTTGGACAAAAGTAATCAATAATTAGATCTCATAAAACCATAAGAAGAGAATTAGTGATAAACATTCAGTAGTAGATTATCATATTTAGGAATCAATATTTCTCTAGGGATAACTACAATGATGCTAAGACAGACATTCTAATTCAAAAAGTTTATAGAGAAGTGTGATTCTTTCTTTATAAAATGAAATAACACAAGTATCCGTAGGTCCATATGCCAACGTGCTTCCAAATGAATCCTCTTGATTACCTTGTTTAAATAGTTCAGCTGTACGAGACAACAAAGAATCACGAAGAAAGTAAAAAACCATGTCTCAAAGTATTTAAACTGATTTGTAACCTCCACAAGTTTATATATTCTAGAAACTGTGATTAGTTGCCCATTGATAAACAAGTTCATCTAAAAACTTAAGTTATTAAAGGACACTTGTATTAATTTAAATCTTGTCATTTAACATGTAATGAAAAATGAACATTGTAATTTGTAGAGAACACCCATAATGCAGTTCGGACACGTATACAATTGAAACAATTATACATTCGCGAAGTCATAATAAATCACAAACGAAACATAGGAAAAAAGAACTGATATTTTCAAAACCCCGAAATCAGACTTGACTTCTGCAGCTCTGCTAGATTGAAGAAGCATATGAATTAATTCTAAAATCCCCTTTTGGCGCATTCATATAAACGCCTTTGCATTTCAATCCACATCCACATCGTGGGCACTCATAGAAGTTGTCAATCGAAAAATCCGCAGATGCAATTCCAACAGAAAATTCCAGATTATCCCCATTCCTCACAACCTCAACAATGTTAACCCAAAGGAAAAACAATTTGACACTAACCCCAGAAAGGCTGGTCAGCTTACCTTTGGAGATGTACCCACCGATCTTGGAATTGTACTTTAGCTGGTACGAGCCTTCAAGGGAGAAACTGCAGGAACCCTTAAAATACGCATTGAATTTTCCAGTGGCTTCATCGATATCGTAGTGGGTTACGCCTTCTGGGAGGAGTCCCACCGGGAAGTCATAAGACTGGAGGAGTTCGTAGGCTGTGATAGAAGGGTTTCCGCCGCTCTGTGTGGTAGCGGCGAGGGTGGCGATGATAAGAACGGTGGCAATGATTTCGTGGGTTGTTTTTGCTGCTGGCATATTTGTTTCTTGTCGGGTTTTCTTTTCGCTGAACGAGTAGATGATTGTAAGCAACAGCAAAAGGTGGGTGAGATCACATATTTGGACTCTTGTTCAATGCTGTAATCTGGACTCTGTTGATGTCTACTCAAGCACGTTATATTCACAAATGAAAGTATTTAAATACGTTGATATTTTTTATTTTTTTATTTTGAACTCAATAGCATAGTAAATCGTTACAAAAGATACAACTACAAAGGAGAAATTGCTAAATTATTCTAAGTCTCAAGACTAATCCCCTAATCAAGATTCTAAGAATCGGATACAAATGGCTTAGAATTGAACCTAAATTTGCCAGCTTTTCCCCCAATTCCATTATTACAATCAAATCCACAACCACATTCCGGCGACTCATAAAAGTTATCCACCGTAAAATCCGCCGACGCAATCCCGACGGATAATTCAAGTTCATCGCCATCCTTAGTTACTTCCACGATATTTATCCAGAAAAACAGAACTTTTACTTGAATACCCTTCAGATCCTTGATTTTGTCAGTGGAAATGGTCCCAGAGATTTCGGTTTTGTACTTGAGATTGTAGCCGTCTATGGTGAAACTGCAGGTTTTGTTCAAGTATACAGTGAACTTGCCAGTGGTTGAGTTCAGCTCGTAGCCTGTGACTCCCTTTGGAAGAAGACCCACCGGAAAGTCGTATTTCTCCAGTAACTCATAAACTGTTGGCGAGGAGTCGGAAGTGGAGGCCAGCGAGGCTGTGAATAGGGAAAGAGAGATGAAGAGGATGCATAAAATTGCCGGTGAAGCCATGGGTATTTTGGGAGGTTTTGCCGAACAAAGGTTCTTCCGCTAACATAGCAAATTTATAGCTAGGGACTTAGGGTTGTTTCATCATCCATGACACATAAATAAAAAAATAATAAAAATTACAAATTTCGTTAAATTATTAATTGAAATTAGTTAATAAAATTTTATCATAATTTAATCAAAGGAGGTTATATTTCAATAATATTTTTTTTGAAATATATCACATTTAATTAAAGGGAAATTATAATTGTACCGGGGGGGTCGACAACCCTCGGACCGCCCTCACACCAGTATCATTTTTTTTTTTTGTTTATAACTGTTGGAATGCTTTAAAACGAAAGACGTATATTTAATTTTTTAGCAGTAATTATATTCTTGTCATACCACATGAGGAATTATCCAATTCATCGTGCTGAATTTCTTGTGGATTTGTTTGAAATTATATACAATTTTGAAACTATTTGTGTAAATTTTATGTTATTAAATATTCATTAAAAAAATTAGTTCCAAAGTATGGACTTTAATTCCACGTGTTGTTCTTACCTACCCTAGTTGCTTTACCAGACAGTCAAGGGTTGTTATTAATTATCGAAAAAAAAAAAAAACAAGTGTAAAATTTTATTTATTATTATCTAAATAATAGTATCACATGGGTTCTAAGCCCTTTTTTACCCCCATTTTGTAGACTGGATTTTGTAAAAGTTAATTTTTTTAGGTTTATGTGCAAAATTATTTCATTTGAAGAAAATATGTAATTGAAAATAAGTTTTAAAAAATGTTACTCTAATAAAGGATATAAGTTCAAACTTCTTTACAATTAATGTGCAATTTGCACCTGTGACTTCTTGATTACTTGAAGAATTGTGGTTAATTATTTGAATGATTATTGAATTTGGCCAAGTGTTACTTTTTAATATCTGAACTTAAAAACGTATGTCAATGGTTACTGAATTTCGTTAAGTATTACTATATCTTAATTGAACTTTAAAATTTATCACAATTGTCATTGAACTATGCACCGTGTTACCCATCCATCACTCAAATGGAAATATCCGTTAGGTTCAACTAAACGGCATCAACTTGAGTAATGGATGGATGACAAGGTGCATAGTTCAGTGACAATTGAGATACATTTTTTAAGTACAATTGTGAAACAATAACACTTAACAAAGTTTAGTGGCCATTAACATACATTTTTTAGTTCTATTATTAAGTAGTAACAATTTCTTTTTCCCTCAAATCGACCACTGTGAAAGAAGACACTAAAGAAAATGAAGCGAAAAAAGATGAAAAATCAAATCAACATCTTACCTATGAAGGGATATGTTAGTTGGGGATTTAATGAATCAGCAAATCATTCAAAACCAATTTAGCATCATGTATTTTCCATTTAGGCAGCAAACCTTTCAATTGAAGACTAATGTCATCCATTTATTTTAGATGGATATTAGCAAAAGTTCTATTTTTATTCTATTTAGAAGTCTCTGATTTCACTTATGCGACTTGAATGGTTCCACTTATTTGAACTCCTTTTTATTAACAGAACTTTTTTCCATAAGATTAGTGGGTTGATCCTTAATGGAAGGTCTAGATTGATGCTGCCAAGAACGATACAAACGTTCTCTTTTCAGCTCTTAAACGTTGGTTTAAACACATAAATTGGATTGATTAAGGCAGATATTGTAGAAGTAAATGGATTAACCAAATAAAGATCTTAAATCTAAATAACATGTTCACGTAGGAATCCATATAGACAATCAAGAATTTCAAATAATGGTGAACCCCACCACAAGAGATCGAGTACAATATTGATATTTAGTTTTTGAACAAAAATACAAACTTGTAAGCAACACTCTTGGCGTAATAATCAAATATTGACAATAAATTCAGTCAAATATTAAGTCTATCATTGAACCGACTCAATGTGCACAAAATGAAAAATTTTACAATTATCACATATTTATTACCACATGTGTGTAAATAATTCGACCAAATATCAACCTCCCTTTAAGCCGATCAATATTCGCACGAATTACGTACACACAACTTTTCTAATATTCCAAATAAATTAAGTTATGTAGGAGAATTTTAATTTATTTTGGTAACACGTTGTTTCAACTAATCTATTTTAGAAAATTAGTAATTTGAATTAAAATTTAATACCAAGATTTGATATTGATTATCCCTTTATATTTTTATATTATTATTATTTTTTCTCTCTATCCATAAAGCCAAACCAAACACTATTCAAAGGTTGCCAAACCTGTTTGCATTGCATGGCCTTTTGTTCATTCTCTCTCCTCTTATTGTTTTCTCCACCTTTCATAACCCTCTCTGTCCACAAACCGAAATAGGCAAACAAAAGAGACAAATATATACACGGAGAGATACGGCTACAACCGATTGTTTTCTCCACCTTTCATAACCCTCTCTGTCCACAAACCGAAATAGGCAAACAAAAGAGACAAACATATACACGGAGAGATACGGCTACAACCGCACGCATATAGTATGATTCAAGAAAGAGATCCAATAAATTACGTACGTTCTAATGGCTGTTATTAATTTTACCATACTCAAATTCAACGGTTAATTCCTAAAATTGTCAAATTTGAAAACATCCAAAAAAATCTAAAATTTGCAATTTAGGGCAAAAATTCAATTCCAAAATTGAGAAATCTGAAGTATGAATTTCAACTCTTAAAAAAATAAATCTTTCATGAATCTTAATGGTTTAACATGGAATTGACTCTAATACCACTTGTTGAAACTTTATGAAACTTTAAAACTTAATCGCTTTCTTGCAAAGATCTTCAATGTCAAATTATCAAGAAAATTAATAATGCGGAACGTATCTTAATTCTTTGGGAATAATTTTTATTACTGAATATTGATTTCGGATCTTGAATTTTGATTATTGGTTTTTTTTTATTCTTGAGTTCTTGATCTTGATTTTGACTTTTTACTCTATAATTTTGATTGTCTTGTTTTTCAATTTAATTACTCCAATCATTTTTTTCGATTCTTGACTGTAGACTGTAGTTCTTGATTCTTGATTGTGAATTTTAGGTCTTCATTTTCATATACTTTCTCTTGTATTCTTGTACTTGTATTCTTGTGTTGATAGGATTACACAAAGGATGAGAATCACATATGAACTTGGACTATAAATCTATATATAGTTTCCATATGTATTTGACACATCCTCAAGTACAACTTTAATGGATCCGATCTCTACACATATAATCCGGCTCACACTTTATTTAGATGTCTTAAGCCCAACAATTTAATTTTTTATTATATCACTTTAATTTGACTCAATTTTAAGATAGTCTTATACACAATTAATTACATATATATACCTGGGTGACAAATTAATAAAGGAAAATTACACTGAACCAGGTGTTTAGTTTGATATTTAAAAAAATCAGGTTTATACTTTATTTAACCAAAAATCATGTTTTAATTTCACAATTAATATTAATAATAATATTTTAAATTAAATTAAATATATACCCACCACTATCCCCAAATTTCAATCCAATTCTCAAACCCTACTCCTCCCTTCCCCTCCTTCCTGTTGTCCTCCTCTTCCCCTCCCCTTCCCTCCTCCTCTCTTCCATTTCTTCCCTCCCCCTCCCTCTGCTGCGAATCCCAGCAGCGTCACTGCGACTGCGATGCTGCTGTGATTCGTAGCAGCAAGCATCGCTGCTCGCTGGGTCGCAGCACAGTCCAGCAGCGCGTTGCTGTACACCCACAGCAGTGTTGCTGCTGCGATTCACACCCTAAATTTTTTTTTACTTTTTCAGTGTATTGATTTTTGGAAAAACAAAAATGATGAAAATTTCTGCAGGTGGATGTTGCAGGTCAAGGATTTTTTAAAAATGGTGGATGTTGCAGGTGGAAATTATAGTGAAGTGGGTGAGGTTCGGTGGTGTTTTTTTTTTTTTTTTTTTTTTTTTGTGGTGCGATGGCATAGTTGTGGGTGAGTGGTGGAGGTGATGTAGAGGTTCGTGGGTGCGGTGGATCTGATGGCGACGATGGGGTGGAGGTGGTGTTGATTTATGTGACCCTGTTTTTGTCGTGTGCGGTGGATGCGAAGATGGAGTTTGGTTTTGGAAAATGTCGCAGATTGGTGATGGTGATTCGTGTGGTAGTTGTCGTTTTTTTGCTTTTTTTGTTATTGCCGTGGAAGGTCAACGGCGGTTGTGGTTCTTTTTGGTGTCTGTGACCTAACTATTGTGATTTTTTTGGTGTATGTGACCTACCTTAAAATTGATAATTTGTAACTAAAAAAATAATCTGTGATCTATAATTTTTTTAATCTGTGACCTCGAAATAATATGTGATCTATAAAACTTTAGATATGTGATCTCGAAATAATCTGTGACCTACAAAAATTTTTATCTGTGACCTGAAAATATTATGTGACCTTTAAAAATTTTTATCTGTGATCTCAAAATAATTCGTGACCTACAAAATTTTTGATATGTGACCTCGAAAAAGTCGTCGGAGTGGTCGCCGATCATCGAAGTAGTCGTCGGAGCAGAGGTGGCGGTGGGATGGGTTAATTATATTATATTACAGTTTAATATTTAATTTAATATAATAATTGTGAATATAATTCATTAATTTATGAAAAATTAGATTTTTGCAATTCTAAATTTTGGAGCCTGATTTTTGATTTTGAGATAGATAAAGTCCGAGTTGTGAATTTTTCCCAATTAATAAACCTAACACCTCAAACTTATAAAATAAATTACTTATATGTCAAACCTATGCTAAAGGTTGAATACTATGATGCAATTTTTGTTACTTCAACTCTAGCGGACAAGTTATGAAATGGCATGGCCAATTTAGACCATGTTTTGTAAGAGCTTTAGGCCCATGATAGAGCCACGATCTCCAAGAGGGTTCTAGCTCTCAAATGATTCAACTCAACTTTTATTGATTTTCTTTAATATAGACTAGGAGTAAATGCTATTTAGTTCAATTGAATTATA